TAAGGCAAGTAGTGATTTCTAAACTTGAAGTAATTTGCCTCCCAAAGTTGCCCTGTTCGCCTAGCTGTGCAAGAGGATTTAGGACATTACGTGCAGTTCTAAGATTCTTATTATTAATAGTAGTAGTAGTTTCTGTGACAATATACATTTAGGCTAGTTCTACCTTTGTGTGTCATCATCAGGCATAAAACAAGTTGCCTTTGTATTAAAAACACAAAAGCTTTGTGGGGAAGAATTTACATTTATCTCTAATTTTTTTGTAACCAGAGTTTCAAGGTCCACATAATTCTGGGAATTTATATAAATTACATAATTTATAATGTTTAATTGTCATGACTTCCACCACAGAACTTGGTACTGTCATAGTGGTACTGCCACAGCTTACACAACATCAGAGAATGACAGTTCCCAATGTTCTGTGAAGAGAAACCCTGAAAGTTGAACCAGTGTAATGTTGTAACATAAACAAACTTCAGTGCTGAATTTTGGGGAAACTATTGTATTAAATTTGTGTCAGAGTTAAGAGCTCAGTACAGTATTAGTCAATAGAATTCAGGCCCATACAGATGGAGAAAGAACAGCTGCATGTTAGGGCTAACTTAGGTATAATGCAGGAGCTGCATTAACAAGACATTCCTTTCCCCCCTTTTCTATTCCCTCTTTTTTCATTTAAAAGCAGTCATGCTACGTCATATCAAAATTGGATTACAGTATTATCGTAGTGCTAGAAGGCTACAGGTTTTTTCCCCTACTGTTTAGTACTTTATGAAGGAACAAAACTCCTGCACAATCTTAAAGGCTCCTCAAGGCTTACTGTGCAGCATAGAGGTGGTGGCAATAAAAAGAACAAGTAACACAGATGTTCTGGAACAAAGTTTGAATAAGCCACATGACAGTCCAGATGTCTTCCAACCAAGTACAAGAAGAAAAAAACTTTGTTCATGGTTTGCTTTTCATGGCCAGAATTTAAACAAATCCGAATATGGCAATATTTCTCCACTCTCATGGCATCACTTTTAACTGAGTGTTCTCTGGGAATCTCAGTCTGCAATCACTGGTGACACAGGCATGCTGTACTGTGATTTTGCAGAACGAATCCTTATGAGAACTACCTATTGTGGAACACAAGCCACACGAGTTGCAGTTAAAATGCAATCAAAGGCCCTGCCGATCGTTTTCTACCCAATGAAGTTTTTACGTTGACAAACAAGGTTTGAGAACAATTGCTTCATTATGTCACACTGCTTGCTGGCTGCAAAGACGCTTTTCGATTAAAGGAGGGACTATGACGGGCTTCCAAACTATCACCCCCCTCTCTTATTATGATCTCTTGGTTTGCTTTAAATGTCAATGGGATAAAACCTTCACCATCTGCAGTAAGAACAATCCAAGAAGAACCTAGAAGAAAATGGAAACACAGTATCAGGAGGTATACATGAACAGACACTATTAAGTTAGATATGCAGAGTGGATTAGTGGAAAGAATGATGGGCTATATATCTCAGGAGCCCTTTGTGTGAATCCCCCTTAGCCATGAAAACTCACTGAGGACAAGATATGGCACTGTTAAAACTATTCCTGAGATATGTCATGTATCACTTCTGACACGACAGCATGTTACACACACACACACATTATTACATTAAGTGTAAAGGGACCTTTACATATGTCGAGTGTGTATCCTTAAAGAATAATTTGCTGTTTTTTTCCCTCTACCAGGTTTTCAATGCAGTGTCACAAAGCAACTGGTTATAATGCCGAGGAAAGTTATGAACAACGGTAGATAACACTTTTCAGGTGCATCTTCCCTTTCTGGTACTGCTAGCTCTGGTATGCATTGTGAAGAACTCATCTTTATACAGAAGTAAGTTGTAACACTCATGTTGGAGAGCTAAAGTAGAAAATACTGTATAAAAACAATAGAACAAAAAGGCAATGAAACTCCAGTTTACAATTATGTTTTAAACTGCTTTGATTTCAGCTCAACCATCTAGATTTTTGTAGGAGGAACAAATGTTTTCATATTCAGTGCCAGTTTCCTAATAATAATATTGAACATATAGGTCCAAATCCTCTTGCACAGTTACGCAGATAGTGTAATATCTGAAGGTAAATTGTTCCAAGGCAAGAAATCACCATAGAAATCACACAACTCGATATGCAACAGATAATGTCTGTGGAGACTTCTTAACTTAAGGCAATTCTCCAAATTTACACTGTCCTTGTTACAGCAGCATAACTAAGCAACAGGATTTGGGCCATAGTTTGTTGTGGTTATTTCCAGCATTACAGTTCTGTAATGGGGGGGGGCATTGGCTTGATCTTTTCAAGTGATAACTTGTGTATTATCTCAGAGAAAACCCTCAGAGACATCTTTGGCATATGGAAAGGAATTTTCTCTGCAAGAACTTTTCATGCAAAAAAAAAATCAAGCTATAACTAGAAAATATGGTTTCCATGTGAATTCTTATTTTTCACAGATAACTATCCATATGTAAGTTTTTATTTTTCACTCAAATACTTGTGAATAGGGACTCTTTCCCCTCAGAACAGAAGAATTTAAGTATGTGAAAAATGAAAAACAGCTATTACATTAGGTTTATCCATTATATTTGCCATACTATAGCCATTCATAACCAGATTTCCAGTTTGCATCAAAAACTTGGTTTCCCAACATATTTCATGGCCAAGACTTTTTTAGTAGACTAATCATTCTTTTTTTTAAAAAATGCCATACATCAAAAGACTAATAGATTAATGAAGCAATGTTTTGAAATATTATGTACGATATTTACAGTTCTTCCTAAAACTTAAGCCACATATGAAATAAAATGCTTGCAAATGAGAATGTAGAAATGCAGATCTATTACTTGTGCACTGCATTCAGATGTGCATTTGTATGTCTGCATTTTCTTGGCCAATATGGTATGTGCCTATAACCTTGTTTACTTAACTGAATCTCATTAGATGGATTGGGCAATTTACTTCAGAGGTTAGATACCTTGAGCTTCATTACAGGGCAATGAAAGATTCGCTAAAGCCAGGAGAGAGCCTGTAATTACTGCTGAAAGCACTTTCAAGAGGGTTTGTGGAAACAAACTTCAAAGCAGACTTGTTTTAAGTCCTGAAGGTCTACCACCAAATGAAGTGAGCTAATTTGCATACTCCCAGAAAGAAGAGAAGTTTTTGGCATGATACACAGGCATTTTCATTAGTTAGGAATGTTCTTCTTCTAATCCAAGACCACCTTTGACATCTCTTTCTAGACTGTTCAAGGTTTGTTTGTTGCTGTAGCCTATCTAGTGGGGATGAGATCCTTAAGAGGTATGCTAGAACTACTTGTGGATTTCCCTTTGAACTCATATTAGAAAGGAGGGAGGAAATACTGTATATTGTACCATTTTAAAGAAATGAAGATTTATTTCAGTATGATCTTTTGTGGTTCAGAATCCACTTTTTCAGGCATAGGGAGTACAAACTGTTGTGGTTCTTAAACTACAATATGCACTCGGCACAGTGAGAATCCAAGTTGATGGAGCTAGACTGGTACCTCGGAACAATTGATACAAAATAGTGACAGAATAGTGACAGAACATCATTATCTGCTCCTAACTGAGAGCACTGAGAGCACAGTGAGAATCCAAGTTGATGGAGTTAGACTGGTACCTTGGAACAATTGATACAAAACAGACCCAACTGAGAATAGTGACAGAACACCATTATCTGCTCCTAACTGAGAGCACTGAGACACATTATCAGTGCCCTGCAGCCCATACTGGACAACAATCCTCCCCTCCTCTAGGCTTGGGAGTGGGAGTAACATGTCCTTACCTGCAGACAACACCACACCTTAAATAAGTACTGGCACACAACAGTCAACACAACACGGAGACCAAGATAGGAACAAGACACGGTGACAAACCTAGGTGTCAGTTGTCATCTCATACCTACACTGGTAGCACTATCAAGGGTCCCAGCAATATCAACAACGACATTATTTACTTTTTCATCCTCTAATCTAATCAGAGCTAATCTAATCTACGAGATCTTCTTTCAGCAGTGCCTCTCAGCATTCTACATAGACAAACAGGGAAAAATCTGCACAAAATTTCTTCCAGCAGTGCCTCTCTATAGACAAACAGGGAAAAATCTGCACAAAATAATGAATGGACACACATTTGACATCAGGAGCGGCAACACAGATAAACCATTCTCAGAACACTTCAACCTCCCAGAACACTCCATTATGATGCTCAAAGGGGTGATATAAACAAAAACATAAATTGGCTATATAAACAAATTCTAGTGCATCTCTAAGGGCCTCAACAGAGATCAAGGCTTCTTTGTACAGTACATATATAAATAACCCACCTTTCTGTAATACTGTATGTTATGCATATAAAATAAGTGCTTCCCTTGGCAGACTCTGACCTTTGTCCCAGGAATTTCTCTTGGTGTTCCTGTGACAGCTGGCGTTATTACCCTGACTAGGATCTGCGAATTCTTTTAATTTTGACAGCATGCTGAGGCAGATTAAGGGTGTGATCAAACAGCTGCACCCTCAGTCTGCCTCATCTTTGAGGGAAATCACTCCTGGAAGTGACCCTTCCATTTGCTGGGGAATCAGTCCAGATCAGCCCCTGAAAGTAGAACCCCTGCAGCTGGACCAAAAAGTCCAGCTTGTGGACAGATTGGAGTCAAGCTGGAGCACCTTTTCCCATGTGTTGTGTGATCACCAGGAAAGAGATTGCACAAGGCCGCTTCACAAGTGCTCCAAACTGAGGTCTGTTTCAAAGTGTAATCACTGCCTAAGCGTGTGATCAGATGGTGATAAAGAAATCTGTCTGATCATGCTGGAAAGGGTTACTTCACTGGAGTGATTTCCTCTAAAGTAATCCTTCTGTGCATACAGGGATCACTCCAGCACAGGTCCAAAAAAAGAGAGTCTTGCTGCTGGACTAAAAAGATCCTGTTTGGGCATGAAGAAGAGTCATACTGGTTCACTATCCCCTGTATGTCATGGGAAAATAGCTTGCACCAAACTATGCCACAAGCAGTCCAAAATGTGAACCATTTCTCCATCTGACTCTAAAACAGCTACCTCCTTGAAAATTGTAACCATTAGTCCTCCTGATCTTGCATGCTTGACCCATAGCCTGTGGGGACCAGTAATATTTTTGAGTTTTTGATCCACAAAAGCTCATAATGAGACAAATTTGTTAATTTTAAAAGTGCCACAGTATGTTGTCCTTGTTTTCCTCCTTTTCCCTGCATTTAATTTTGCAAATATGCTGTTCTCATTCCCTGTTTCTGTCTCTCACATGAGGGAGGGGAAAAGTAAGACAATGGATTCCTTTTTTCCATTTTTGTTTTCTGGTGAAGTTTTATTTTAGTCCTCTCTAAAAGCCTTCTCCACCACCTCTGCTGGCCAGGATTTCTGGGAGTTGAAGTCCAAGAACATCTGGAGGCCCAAGGATGGCGACCACTGCTCTAACAAATGTAAATGGGAATTTCATGTCAACTTAACTATTTTGAAGTTACATCTTCCAATTTAAACTTAACTGAGGGCACAGTTATACTGACAATAGGAACTACTTTTGAATCAGGTTTTGTGTAATTGAAATTGATTTAAAAATCCTGAGTACATGGCACATGGCAAAGCCTGCTTTTTTTGGTCACAAAGCAATTTTTAAAAAAGAGGCTTTTTTGTACTCACTTTCCCACCCTGGATACATCAAAGATATATTTCTTGGCCATGTTCTAAAGCTATGGTTCTTAACCTTGGGTTACTCAGGTGTTTTTGGACTGCAACTCCCAGAAGCCTTCACCACCAGCTGTGCTGGCTGGGATTTCTGGGAGTTGCAGTTCAAAAACATCCGAGTAACAAAGGTTAAGAACCACTGTTTGTTCTACAACAAATTGTAGATGTCCAAGAAGACTGTGGGGAATAGGCAGGAGAAGAGAAGACCCTCCTATCCTATGGCCGTTCTAAAAGACAGTATAACAAATTGTAGATGTCCAAGAAGACTGTGGGGAATAGGCAGGAGAAGAGAAGACCCTCCTATCCTATGGCAAACTGTTTTTGAAACTGACAGAAATATAAAAAGCAATTTGTGATGCAGAATTGGTTCTGCTGTTCCAGGGCAAATTACTCAAGGATCAGATTGCATTAGATATAATCAAAATGATGGGCTCAAGCTATGGCAAGCCAGATTTAGGGTGGATATCAGGAAAAACTTCTTAACTGTTAGAGTCTGCTGTTCCAGGGCAAATTACTCAGGGATCAGATTGCATTAGATATAATGCAATCTGATCCCTGAGTAAGCCAGATTTAGGGTGGATATCAGGAAAAACTTCTTAACTGTTAGAGCAGTACAGCAATGGAACCAATTACCCTGGGAGGTGGTGAGCGCTCCAATGCTGGAGGCATTCAAGAGAAAACTAAACATCCATCTGCCAGGTCTGCTTTGATTTGGATTCCTGCATTGAGCAGAGGGTTGTACTCAATGTCCTTATAGGCCCCTTCCAGCTCCATTATTCTATGATTCTATGAAAGTATCTTTTTGGATTCTAGCCTTTATATTTAGCACGATGGGAAAGTTTACAGCTTGTTCAGGGAAATATTTTGAAAATATTAAAAAGAGCTGTAGTTGTGGCTTTAATCTATTTAATAAGTAATTTAATGTAATTCTGAACAATTTTATTACAGACTTAGCAGCATCACAGTATCTTCCAGGGTTATATTTCACCTCTTATTCAACTCTTCCCAAACTATATAGTTCAGTGTATTTGCGAAGGCTTTCACAGCCGGAATCTAATGGTTGTTGTGGGTTTTTCGGGCTCTTTGGCCGTGTTCTGAAGGTTGTTCTTCCTAACGTTTCGCCAGTCTCTGTGGCCGGCATCTTCAGAGGACAGCAACCAGAGTACAGGTTGCTGGCCTCTGAAGATGCCGGCCACAGAGAGTGGCAAAATGTTAGGAAGAACAACCTACAGAACACGGCCAAAGAGCCTGAAAAACCCACAACATCCATTATATAGTTCAGGTTAAATTCTGGATCTAAAACAAAGACGTGGACAATTACTTTTTAGAAATTAGCTTCTAATGTAGTCTCCCAGAAGCAAATTAATAAGCTTCTTTACTTTGAGCGAGAAGCAATAAATAAACAAAATTTAGAATAGCTGTCTTTGAGAGATGGATATACTAAACCAAATAAAGAATGATTAGTGAATAGTAATGAGCTCTGCAGTTGCTCACTATGACAGCTCTATTGTCTTGTTAGACCTATTAATCAAATACATTCGTACCTTCCCTTACTGTTTCATGCTATCTGTTGCATCATAAGAAGATTGCTGTTACCAGACATGAACCTTTAATCTTTTCCAGTTAATGCACTCTTTCTAATTCTGGACAGACTTTGAATTCAATAAATTATCTCATGCTTGTATGAGTATATCAAAACCTACACACTTGCCATTGCTAACAGTATACAGTACATAAAAACATATTCTCCAAAATGTGAAGATGAAAAACATTTCCAAAATCATATGCTTAATGTTCTTTATTGGGAAGAGATACTTATTATTGGGTGATTCAAAACAGAAGAGTCCCGGTATAGTTCTTTTTCTTCACTTCTGGTTCCCGGACAATATTTCAACATATTGTGGCAAATCAGTGGATGTTGTTAATAGTATGCAATACAGTGATACAGGGGGGAAATAGGAAAGCAGCATATGTGTGAAGGAGGAAGAGACAGCATGTATTTTTTTTCCATCTCTTTGAACACATAGATATTTTTCATGCTTGCACTCAAAAATTATAATTCCCTCTCAAATACATACTTTTCTTACTTGAGAAATACTACTAGTACTATATCTGTGAAGATTCTCAGTCATCTAGGTGAGGTTATCTGGAAGTTAACCTTCTTCATTAGGCTTCTTCATTAGGCTGAAACATTTCGCTACTCATCCAGGTAGCTTCTTTAGTCTGAGGAGAGTTGGTAGGAGACCTCCAATATATCCTCCACCTTAGTTTCACTTCCCCCTGGTCTGAATAGGCTCATTAGAAGGACAAAGAACTGGAGGTGAGGGATAATCCCACTTCTGCAGTCCTTCTCCATCCATTGTCATGGACAGTTACAGTTGGATGAGTAACTAAATGTTTCAACTTAATAACGTAAAAGCCCTGTTGCCATGACTGTCAATAAGAAAGCATTCAACAGATACGGCCTGGGAACGTACAGTATGTTTGTGAGAATCTGAAAGTCAGAAGCTTCGTGATTTCTAAACATTGTTGGCCCAGCAAAAATACAGTCTGTAGTTTCAGAATGGAAATAAAGAGTTAATGTCCTTAGTCAAGATCCACAGCAGTTGGTTTTGCTGCTTTTGACCAACTTTTGACTATTTTCCCTCACAGTAACCTGTACTATACTTCTCAGTCCACATTGTTCAGCTTTCCAGAAAGATTTTTCCAGAGGCACCGATGGTTGCAGGTGGGAGAAGAGAACTGGAAACTTTCACCATATGGACTATACTGTATAACCAGATCAGTATACAATATGCTCATATATCTCATTTTAAAAATAAATTATTGTAGGCTACAGTTTTCCTAAAGTGTGAAAACTTTTAATAGTTTCGGCATTGTGCATGACCAATTACTGAATAATTAGCATTTCTGCAATATGAAACAATTGGTTTCACCATTTTTGGTAAGAGATTAGAAACAAACTTCTAAATTAAAATTGCAAACTCATTTTATTTCCACATTATAAAAGTTTTCACAATTAAAAAGAGTAAAACAACTATTATTTGAAGAGCGCACTCTGTGTTGCTGTGGAAGTTACCATTTGGAATATCCTTCCTGGCTTTATCTCTTGATGAGATGGATAATTCTGCTGCATTCATGAGTTAGAAATGAATGAGGCTGCAGTTTCCTATAAAACATTCTTTACAAGGACTAAGTCCCACTGGATTCATTAGGAGTCTTCTGTTTCAACCAAATGATGGAACCTAGCCATTCATTCAAATTTTCCTGGCCCTTGGCTAAAATTTTGCTATTTGATGTGAGAAAGCTTCGGCATGTGCAACAGATACAGCAACTAAAAGAGTTCTGGCAATGTTTTAAAAACAGAAAAAGAAAGACTGGACAATATCAGGGCTTTTCATGTCCCAGATCCTGCAATTTCAGAGCTCAGAGTTCTGGAATGCTTTCATTTCTGGCAGAAGTTCTTTATGATGTTTCAGTATTTTCGAAGGTTCTGATTTTGCCAGCCTGAAATGCTATTTTACTTCTTTATGTGTTTATTCTTGACAAACTGCTTCAAATAATTTCACCAAGATTGATGATTTGTTTAATGTGAAGATGAATTCAATTTGAATTGAAATCAGTGAAGCTTCATTGTGATTAGACAAGAAACCACTATATCTAAGACCCCCGAATCCAGGACTTTGATAAACAAATCTCACTAGTCCATTCTCTCTCTCACATAAGTCTTAGGTCTGGCCCAAAGAACCTTAATTTGTTTGTCCTTGTTTGAGATCTCCGGCAAAGATCTCCCATTTGTTGCACTGCTTCAATTTGAATTACAGCACTAGTATCCACACTTAGGTGTTTACATTAATTGCTTATTGTTTTCTGTTCATAATTCTTGCTGTTCCCCAATGTGGATACTTCACGTCTTGCATGAAATTCCATAAATTTCCTTTTTTCAATAGCTCATTTGTCATTGTCATTGTGAGGCCAATCTCTCTAAGGCACAAAACTGCTCAGATTCAGAGATACATTACAGGCAGGGATGGTAGCAAGTCTTTGGGTCAGAGTCAGAGTCTTTGGTACTACTGTATGGTCCAAGTCCCAGTCTTTCATATTGAGCCCCAAGTCCAAGTCCCGATTAGAAATAAGCTTTTTATCCCAGAAAAAAAGGAGGGGGTGGGGTTCCGTGTGATGAGTCAAGTCTGAGTCAGTAAAAAACACAAGTTGGGTTCAAGTTGAATCACCAGTGCAACTTAAGTCTGACTTGACAGCGAATCCTGCAGCTTGAGTGCAACCCCTTTTTGAATACAGGAGTGTACGCTCAGAACATGTATGAGTTTCTTGGTACTTGGTTACCAATAAGTGATGGAACTTTTATCTTTTGGCCAATTCATCAATCAGTATTTGGCAAGAGATGAGCAAAAAGCATGCATTCAGGAGGATAACTTTAGAAAACCAAGCCTCAGCCAAAGGTTCACTAATGGAAGTCAGTTGAATGTATGTTACACTGGAGGAAGTACATGTAAATGAACTTTTGGTAGCATAATCAAGACTGCTTGTTTATATAGGCCTCGGCGAGCCAAGAAATGGTGAGTAGTAAAGAGAACTTACCATATTTCATTTCAACAATAGGAAGGTCAAAAAGATGCTGGACTAAACTCAAATGAACTTTGCCATCACAGAGAAGAACACTTTTTGTTTCTTCAGCTACAGCTCCATTTGAAAACTGCTTCTACAGACACATCAATATACAAAAAATAAACATCTCGTTAGAATAATGATGAATTTTCTTCCGTACTAATTATTATTAATTATCACTATTACTCAGTCCTTTGTTGGAAATGATTCCAACAAGAGACCTTGATCTTATGATGACTTGATAAAATCGAAATAGATTAATCCTGTCTTAATTTCTCTAAAAAGCAGGGGTTGCCAGCCTGTTGCTCTCCGTTTTAAATCAAATCAGACCTAATCAGCATAATCAATGATGAAGCATGCTAGGTGCTACAATACAACATCTGGTTTAAACCCTAATTTTCAGCTTACTAAAGATGAGTGATAGTGATATGCTTCACACAACCACTGCTCATGTCCATCCTCCTTTCTTGAGAATGCCCTTCCTTTCACTCTCCTTGGAGATTTCTAGATGTTTGTGTTGTGTTTCAAGTTTTCAACTGTCTCTGCTGTGGGTTTGATCTGAAATTGGAGAGCATGCATATAGCCAAGAAAGGGCTGTAGCTGCTCATGTTTATCTGAAGCAAGCCTTTAAGGAATTATCTACAACTGATTTTTATTCAGGAGCAACAGTCTGGATTGGGCTGTTAAGGCAGTTGAATTAGTCTAACCAAGAGTAAAGAAGAAACAGTGTGCAATATCCTATTGTTAGTCCCACCCTGAACCGACCTGCTGAATTACAGTAATGGGATTTACAAATATGTTGACTGATCAAGTCCCATAGATTTAATTAGTATATCTAATTGGACCAAAAAAACCCCAAATAAACTAGATTTAGCCGGATAGGTTTCATGAGACATTAAAGGGTGAGAGCCGCAGTTATCTTCTGCTTAGGAATTATTCTTCCTGCATATAATGTTTCTCAATCCTCAGTGTACATATCCCTTGCCTCTCTGATGTACTTTGCCTGCTTGGAAGCATCATAACAAAAATTCAGAGTGAATGGTAATATGACATGTTTCACCAAAAATTCCTTTTCAATATGTGGCTGCCTTTTCCACTTAAACCTAAAGAAGACTGGCTGAGTTTAAGCTTGAGTGCTGCTTTAACAGCAGGAGTTGATTGACACCCTTTTATCTACATCACTGGTTCTTAACCTTGGGTTACTCAGGAGTTTTGGACTACTACTCCCAGAAGCCTTCACCAGGAGTTGATTGACGCTCACTTCCTTTTATCTACATTACTCATAAATGTATGAGTATTAGGCATAAATTCTAGCTCAGGAACAGAAGGAAAAATGGCAGGCAGGCAAACACTCAACTCATGCAAGCAGGGAGAGTGACCAAGGTAAAGGGGACCTGCAAAAGAAGCCTAGAAAAGGGAGCATGGAAAAAACAGACTAGCTGGAAAAAAAAAAACCTTTCTTCATCTGCAGAAGAAAGAAAAGGTGGGCACCGAATATAAAAGCAGGGTATAATCATCTCCATTCTGTCTTCAGGATATTAGGTTGGCTGGCCAGGGAAGAAAATAAAAGGACAGACATGAAGGGACATGTAACTCTTGGGACTGTTTCAATACAACAGTGAATGGCTAAGCCCTGGGTGTCCTTGTTGTGTTTCACAGCACATTATAATCTGAATTGGCCTGGCCTCCAGGTGGGAATAGAAGATTTGCTTTTGTGAAAAACAGAAATGTAATGTGCTCTGAATATCGTTGCTTCTTATATTTTGTGACTTAGCCTTAATATGCAACTTAAATTCAGACATCCTTGAATTCTATTTCGAATCATGGCAGCAAAATCTGTGAGACGAAACCACATGGGATAATAAACTGCAAATACTACCCACCCACATAAGTGAGAAACAGACGTGCGTATGTAAAAATGTTGGCCCTTCTACTTTAGAAGAGATGGTTTCTGACATTTTGTTTTTATTACAATAATATACTGTATGAGAATCTTCTAATTTCTTCTTTTCTTTTCTTTTCAGCTGGAGTAAAAACACACAAGATGGCAAGTCTCTGCTCAAATCAACAGGACTTCATTCTCATACTGAATATCACACTGTTTGAATCTTACAGTACTGTAGTCAAAACACACAAGATGGCAAGTCTCTGCTGAAATCAACAGGACTTCATTCTCATACGGAATATCACACTGTTTGAATCTTACAGTACTTCCTTTCTTCCTACACAATTCAGGACTCATCATCTCCTCAGTCCTTCACTTCAGGTAATCAGTATTTTTGCAACACTTCTCAGTTGAATATCACCTGTAAATTATGTTCATCTGTTCTTTAGTCCTCCAAGAAGTTCAGGAGGAGCACAATGCATTGCAACTAATTTTAAATGAGCAATAATCAGACCCATCCAAACAATCTGGACTATAATGTTTATATTTTGCCACTAGAATCCTTTATATCTGTATTTTCTTTTCCAGCAGGGTAATGCATCTGCATCATCTGTTTCTGTTTTTAGTAATCTGTTCCACATCTTAATTAACCTTCAGTGCAAATAAATGTCTCTTAATCTCCTTTAGTGCTCAGGTGTTAGTTTCTATTCATCCTCCCTTGTTATGTCAGTATCTCAGATACTCTACAGTCCAGCTGGATCAATGGGTTATGTACCATGCAAATGCCTAGTACACACTCTTTCTTTCAGTGCAAAACAAGTTTGAGGCTTCCACTGTAGACTCAATAATGACAGCCTAGTTGTTACAAACAGCAGAGAAGTAGTCAGTATCGAAAGTGTACAAAGTAGTGGAGATTCCAATGTGATTGGATGTACCTTCATTAAAAAATGGCTTACAAAGAACAAAGCTGCATGTCAAAAAAAATCTTACGATGCTACTACGCTAAGTATCCAAATAGGTTGATTTGAAGTCTCCTTTTCCTTTAAGTGAACGCTGCTGTTGATCACACCTAAAAATCAAATAATCTGAATTAGCTTTATTTCTAGTGTCCTTACTGCACATCAGTATGCAGTACTTCAGTACACAACACCAGTCCTCGCTCTTCTTTTCTGCTGTTGCTAATTCCCTCTTCCCTGCCTTTCCCCTGCACCTCCCTTCAGTCTCTGCTGTCAGGCCATTGGGACTGGTATCAACTGGGCAGAGTTTTGCCGGTTTGTTCATATTACCCAACTGGCACTGGTGGTTTTTGTAGAACTCAGACAACCCACAAATGCTATTGTCTGCCTATTTGTTAGGGTTGCTTTTAATTTTTTTAGGGTTTAAAAAAATCTATAGGAGTCTTAGCGCTAATTTGTTAAACAATATGTCAGTTTTTTAAAATAATTTATTATTTTTAAACTACTAGGAATGGGGTAGGGAATACAAAAGGTAGAAGGGAGTGCAGGGGATGGAAAAAAGGTTTTGAGGATAGGAGAACACAGAGTACACAATCATCCACTCTATTCATATTAAGTATGCATGCCTCTGATCCATTCATTTTCCAGTACAAAAAAATCTTTGTATTCTTATATATATATATCTATATACTATTTGATTATCCTCTAAATATCAGCTTATATTCATATTTTAATTTAAGTCTAAGTTATTCCAACTCTATCAAGAAATCAAGACCAATTATAAAATACATCCCCTCTTTCATTTTCTTTCTGCCATGGACATATCAGCCTATCTGGAAAGCTATCCATTTCTGGTACTTCCCATATTTTCTCAATACCTTTTTCTCGTTTCTGTCCCTCTATTTTCTTCCAATTTTCTTCCAAAAATTAAATCCAGGGCAGTAATTTGATTTTTGAAATCACCTTTTCTGACTATTATAACTGGGTATCCCACGTGGCAACTTCTAATCCCCTCTATGTTACCAACCATGTTACCTGGCATCTCTCTCAATAAAAACTGTTCTGGAGTTTCAATTTCATTCAATTGCTGTTTAGCCTCTAGTGGTTTCCCTTTCATCAGGCCTTCTATCTGTCTAAGTTTCTCATTTATCTGCTGAAATCCTGTTATTATTGTAATTCGCATGGTAACCAGCCATTCTTTGTCTGGCAACATTCCCACTAAGTATGTCCTCCCCCTCCTTGCCCAGAAATTATAACAGTGTTCTCAGAATCCACACAGTCCAGCCAAAAGAGAATCCAAAGTAAGCATCAAACAGGGAACCAGTCTCTCCTAAAAAGAAAAACTGTTGTAATCCTGTAATAACTCCAGATCTGATTTTCTTCGGTCCTCGTCTGTTCTGTTGAGTTCCTCTCGCTGATCAGCTGATAGTCTACTGTCGTTTCCCGGGGCTTTATTCAGATTTATTCTTCCTTCCAAAACCAAAGATGCTTCTGTTATCAAAGTCCCATTCGACTGGCTTCTCCCACTCTTCAGTCTATGTCTCCACGCTGATGATTCATCACCTATTTTATTATTCCCAAAAGCCTGTGCCTCCTGTTCCAAAGATAAGGTTTTATTTTCAAAGTCCACTCAGCTAGTAAGGAAAGTCCAAATTGCACAGCATTGACAAGATTTCAGTCCCTGTTGAGTAGTATTTCCTCTGGGATTTTTTTCCAGAAACACAGTTTTTCTCACAGAGTATCTAAATGACCTTGGGCCAGCTTGCTAATTATACACTTGCTATTTATCAGACAGTTCGCTTTGAAAAAAAAAACAAGCTGGCATGCCGGCTTGCTGCTTCCTCTCTCCTTTTGGTCTGGTATTTTCACTTTAGTTTCTTCAACATATTAATGAGGTTATTCATAAATCAAAGGCTTACTTTGCTGTTGTTTCTGTTCTCCTTCCTCGGGAAATTGGGGGTGGAGTTTTCTCACAGCTTTCTGCCATAAGATATGGCCTCCTGTCTCCGGCCTGCGCGTGGGTGAATTTTCAGAGGGAAGAAAGACCCGGTTGCTGCCAAATCTTCTACCTTCTGGGCTCACCGTCTGCTTGGGGGTACCTCTCCTGGGCCCCCCTTCCATCCCCCCATTCTAGGGGGACGACAGGCTGGACGGTTCCAGTTTTCCCTGGAGCTGTTCACCGGGTGCTGCTGGCTTCGCTGCAGTCAAGCTCCGCCTCAACAATATGTCAGTTTTGATGAAAACACAGACTACCAGATCCTACACTTGAAGTCATATGCAAAGCATTTAGGAGTGCACACAGGGATTGTGAAGCAAAAGAAACTAAACATTAGACAAATTGTGCTGTGAAAACAGCTGATATTGCTAGTGGAGGAAGCAATCTTGTGAAGTAATCAGGGGATGAATACAAAAAGGTTCCCTTGCTTTGCAGTGATTAGGTGATCTAGCGCTAGGGTAGGTAACTCTAACAAAATAAAATAAAGTAATAAAATTTATTTTAGGAGTTAAAAGGAGAGAACACCATGGGGATGGGTTTTTCTACCTTCACAGAGAACATGCTGCACTTAAGATGTTACCTTCAACACCATCCCTGCACCCCTTCAAATCTACTCCTGCACATACGTTGTTGCTTTTGTACATTGGCACCAATGATCACACATGTCCGAACTAATGTAAATGCATTCACTTTTACATTTCTACATTCAAAAACGTAGAAGCCCCAGCAGTGGAGGGGAAAAGTACAGATTGGGGAAGAAAAATCCAGGCTGATTGATGTGTACATTGTGTAGTCAATGGAAAATATGATTAATCTAGTTGTGCCAATTCTGGAGCAACTCTCGTATTATTTGTCAATGTAGACATGCCCTCAAATTTGCTTGTTTTCTATGTTTAGGAATGCCCTCATCTCCTAGAACAGTGCTTCCCAACCTTGGGTAATCTAGGTATTCTTGGACCGCAGTTCCCAGAAATCCTAGGCAGCACAGCTACTGGTGAGAGCTTCTGGGAACTGCAGTCCAAAAACACATGGGTTACCCAAGGTTGGGAACCACTGCGTTAGAGCATTTCATTTTGTGACCTTCAGCTGCAGGGATGCATAGCATATCAACATATCTGATATTCAAAAACAAACAGAAGTCTTATCTCTGTAAGCAAATGAAAATCAAGTTATTTCCTAATAATGGCTATAATAGTGTGAATGCAGAGGAAATGGAAAGTGAGCACCATGAAAAGCTTTCTAGGAAATGAAATTACATGTAATAAGCTTAGCACAACATTTTATTTTATGTTTTAATATGTGTAATACATTCCAAAGGGGAGAAAAGCCCCAAGGACATTGTGCCATGATATTTTAAAATGAAAAATTCAGGTATTTGCCAATCTATTGAACTCCATAATATAAGTTACCAAAAACTGGCCTTGTTCCACAATTGATTTCTAATTTATATAGGAATAAATACCACTAAATAAAGAGCGTCTACTTCCATGAAAAAATAAATCTTGAACAGCCCTTCACAGAGGAAACATTTCATTCTCGATATAGCTTTTGTTTAAGTTTATATAATGTGCCAACTTTGGTAATTTTAAGATATTGCGCCTGTTTCTTACCCATTATTTTAGAATATGCTCCTCATTCTTTTTTCCAAAAGATATGGGCTTTCCCTCCATTTATTTTCACAGCTGCCAACAGCTTAACTTGGCTGTCCACTTGTCATCTATTAAGCCTTATGGCTGAGCAGGGTACGGGCTTGACACCTCAAAAATCTCACAGGCCACTATGCTGCCTCCCACTAAGCTTCTTTACACATACCGTATTTGCATACATGTCTCAGTCTGCTTTTAAGAAAAAGTAAGATTCATCCCAAGTCCTAATACTGCAGAAGCCAGCTGTGATTGCTTTCCCTTCTCCTGGCATCTGCTTGCTGTTTGGGCAGGTCAGGACAGAAGCTGCCATCCTGCAATGACGATGCAGAAGGAAAAGCTCTTGTTTGGAAGGAAAATGATAAAAATAAGAACCTCTGTATTCTCATCAAACCTGTGGCTTTGCATGCGTGTGTCTGTGGAACTGGCTCTGTGTGCATCATGCTGTTTGCTCATGAGTAAAGAGGCAGCAGCTGAGGACAGTTTCAGCATGAGGGGAAAATGTTGTGGTGAACATTGGGGAGCCAGAAGGAGGTTAAAAAAAAAACCATTTCTACTCACCCAGGCCTCTCTGCTGGGGCTGCATTGCCTTGTAGGTGTGGTGCCCATAGAGTGGGCATAGCCCCTTCCCTGGCTTTTCTTGCAGTTGTTATTCAGGAGGCTGGAGTGATTTTCCTTTCCTCCCCTCATTGTTAAATAAGGGAAGTGGTATATTAAAAGGGCATTGCATCAGCCTAGCATGCTATTAAAATGTTGTTGCATCAGTTAAAGAAATGTATATTTAAAAGATGGAAATAGAGCAGTTAACGCTGCTGACAGTGCCATTTTGGTGCCAGCAAACGTCCACATAGGCTAAACAAAGAGCTAATTAGGACTGCGCTGAATCATGCCAAAAAAGATATATGCCCTACTTCTGTGCCAGAAAGGTGCACGGCAGCTCTTAAAGTGGAAGGATGGATCGATCTAAGGGGAAAAACATGTGGACTCTGTCATTTGGCTCAATACAAATCGTGTTGGCAGCTATCCATATCCTGTTCTGTATGCCAGTGTGGACAGCCTGTTTAAAAGTCAAAACTTCTGGTGGCAGTATCGCCACCAGAAGCCCCAACCACCCCAACAGTAATCTGGCAGTGACTTTTTAAGGCACCCATTCCCTGTCTTGAGGCTCCCAAAGCCTTCCTTGGAGCAACTGGGGAATAGGAAGCTTTTAATCAGTGCAGATTAAATGTCTACAGTGCCTGGTCTGGGTTATGCCAGGTGCAAAGTTAAGCAACAGGATTTTGGCTGTTGACTCATTTTATCCTGTCTTATCCTGAAAACTCAGGGTTGACCACCACCATTATCTCTATAGTTCTTTTCTGAAAAATTGCACCCTCTTTTCAATTCAAGGGCAGTTTCTTTGCAGGTAACATGCCTCCCTCAGATCTGCCCAGTCACAATAGAGATCCCCTTGTGCTTCCCTTGTACAGTACTTGCTCCAAAGGTGAGGCACCCTCTCCTTCCCTCTCCCTGCTGCAAAGGCAACCTATTAAAGCCATAAAGCCATATCCATAAATTGCAGCAGCAGAGATCTTTACCGCACAGAATACTATCCTGCTGTGAAGAGGCAGTCTGACTGAATCATTAAAACCACAGATGAACCTTTATAGATCATTATGGAATTAGAAGCAAAGATCCTTATGTGGGTAAGAAGTCTGTGCCTCATCTGTTTTGAAATCCACTACCATCTTTTTAAATTCAAAATTGTTGTTTGTCTCTCTTTTTAGCCTCCTCAGCACCATGAAGTGATGCCTTTTCCTTATCCTGCCCTCTGGGGCCTTAACTTACCAATCCATTAATCGCCTCCTGTTTTGTCCGCTGCATTTCCAGTTCTTAATGGTCGTTTTAAATTTTGTCCTTTGAAACTCTGCCGGTTCTATCACACAATAAAGCAGAGCTATATCACCCTCATCTTTCATCAGATTTCATGATTCCTTTTATGTTTGCAAAATTGCTTTCCTGATTATAAAAGCAGTTTGGAAGTGTGATGATTCACCTTCTCCTTCACTCAGTCAATCGCCTCCTCAAGTCACATTCCCCTGTCTGTCCTCTATGCTCTGTCTTTTGGTCACAAGGTTGTCTTTCTGTTTCTAGGCTTTATTGAGTCCATATATCTTTCAATGCACTTCTCTACCCATTACATTTCATTTACTTTTAATACTGGGGAAAATTATATAGCATAGCAGGAAAGATTTCATTCAGTATATTAAATTTCTTTGTCTTAATGTCATTAAAACTAAAACTACTCACTCCAGACAAAACAGAAAAAAAATCTGCAACTCCTGGCGTATCGCACAATATCAGGCCCTACTACAGTTGAAGATGGTGCCCAATCCATTTCTTTTCTGCCCTGAATTTTACAAATACACTGCAGCTTCAGACAATACATTATTGCCCCCGTTTTCCTGCCAGTCACCTGCTTGCCCCATCCCCATCTCCCCTGCTTGCCACCCCCATGACTGCCATCGTATCTCTGATTTTTTTCTCTTTTGCCCCTCTGCTCACACATGAAGATGTGTGATTGCTTTTCTAAAATTGCTTTTCTAAAACCTGTAATTAAAATGGCACATCTTCAGATGTGCATAAAAACCTTTGTAAAAAATATAAACTGGATGGAGGCAGTTCATGATGTCCCCATGATTGCCTACACTTGTTGCACAGAGCCCCCATACACCCATGGTGACAATGTGCACAGCCACCCACAATAGGTGAAAGCAAACAAACAAAACAAAAAACAAAAACCTAGTTCAACTTGAGTGTGCGTTACAACTGATTTCATGCCTGTTTGAAGCTAAACCACAGTAAATGCATTTCCCCCCAGAGGTGTAATTCTAGCTTTAAATGGGAAACTATGATAGGAGTTTGCAGGGGGATTTTTTCCCCTTCCAAAGCAAAAAGCAAAGTGTGCTGCTTATATACCACCCGAAACCACTTAAAACCCTCTCTGGGCAGTTTAAAAATTAATTATGCAGGCTACACATTGCCCCCCCAGCAAGCTGGGTACTCATTTTACCCACCTTGAAAGGATAGAGGCTGAGTCAACCTTGAGCCACCTACCTGGAATTGAACCCCAGGTTGTGAGCACAGTTTTAGCTGTAGTACAGCAGTTTAACCACTGCGCCACGAGGCTTCCAAACTTTGTGATCTATATACATTAATGGAATAACTGCCCTGATTGCTTGTAACTCCAAAGAAACAACAATGCTGAAGTGTACATTTTTCTTGCTAATTCTTGCATATGTCATCTATGGAATTCAGTGAAGAATCAATTAGCCATTGAAGCCCATTAATAAGGGAAAAACCTTCTGTCCTGTGGATGAATTGTAAAGAGATGCAGCCACCAGTGTAACATTTTGCATGAGCTGTGTGCTGTTACCACCTTCCCCCTTGGTCCTTTGTACTTAACTATCAGGAGTTGTTTGCAGTGCATTGAGTGTTACTGTATGTCTTGATTGCCTATGCTTGATTATACTTTCGGAATGGTTACAATTCAGAAATAGAGCGCACCAAAAAGATCGCGGGCTCACAGTCCTATGAAAAGACTGATGAAGTTGTATAATTTCTTGATGGACATTTTCCTGTTGTCTCAAAAAGTTATTCTGTTGTTATGCTGGGAAACAGCCTGGTCACTTGACACATTTGTTCCTAAATTATTATTATTATTATTTATTTAATTTATATCCCGCCTATCTAGTCGTGGTGGACTACTCTAGGCGGCCAATGTTGTTTTCTGTGGAGAGCTCAGCTAATCCCTTGACTTTCCAGAGGGAGGTGATTGGATAGCTCAGTGAGTTGGGTACCTATACACAACCAGAGGTTAAGAGTTCAGTTCCCTGCTGTGCCTTCAGGGAGAAGAGCCAGCCTTGAGCAAGCTGCATAGTCTAAGAGCACCCCCAGAGGAAGGGAACACTCTTTCTACTTAGAAGAATGTGGAAAGGGTCACCATAAGCAGGAATCGGCCTGACAGCATGTAAGTATTATTATAGCGATGAAGAAACTGGTAGGATGGCAAATAAAGTGACATTGCTGAAAAATTCAGGAGTCTGACAAAGCATGATCAGCTGGCTGCAGACCATTTATACATTTGTTCTATGGCAGTGATTGTTTCTGTTGTCAGCAATTTGCACACCACCTTGGAGATAGGTCAGAAGACCAGCAGTCGTAAGATCAAATCCATGCGACGTAGTGAGCTCCCGTCGCTTGTCTCAACCTAGCAGTTCGAAAGCATGTAAAATGCAAGTAGATAAATAGGTACCACCTCGGTGGGAAGGTAATGGCATTCCGTGCCTAGTCACGCTGGCCACGTGACCACGGAAACTGTCTTTGGACAAATGCTGGCTCTATGGCTTGGAGACAGGGATGAGCACTGCCCCCTAGAGTCAAACACGACTGGACTAAATGTCAAGGGGAACCTTTACCTTTACCTAGAGACAACTTTGGTCACTTTACAAATGATCTACACTGAGTATCGGATAGGAGGAGTGTACTCCATCTGGTTCTGGTGGAATCTTGGTGGCTATTGATACTGCTGATCATAGTACTTTCTAGGTCACCTCTCTGGAATGGAACTATTTTACATTAGCTCTGGTCTTTTCTGGATTTCGGAAACTGATTCCTGTTCATTGTTGTGGCCATTGGTTAGTGGTATCCCCTCAGCATTCTGTTTTGTGCCTGCACTATTTATTATACACATGACCAGAGGTTTCTATTGTTTTGGGCTCAATACCATAGGTATGCTGATGACACCCAACTTTATATCTCCTTTCCTTCCAAATCCAAGGAAGCTGCTCTAATTCTAAACCAATTCAGAAGTCAGTAAAGTGTGGGGTGAGGCCCAACAAATGAAAGCTTGATCCAGAAGTATTCATGGTCAGCTGAAAGACAGATGAGGGATCAGGGACTCAAAATACATTGGGATAGGGTCAGAGTCACTTTTAAGATTCAGGTTGGTTATTTGGGTGGACTCCTGGATTGAGCCCTAGATCTGAAGGTCTAGATTCCAACAATATCCAAGAATGTAGTGTACACCTGACACTAGTTAGTGTGCATGCATTTTTAAGTGCATGAAATGTTTTTTTTAAAAGGGTAATATTTGCTTTGGACTGGGTACATAGAATGGTACTGTTCAACATAGGTGGATGACATGTTAAAATCCTGGTGGCCAGAAAAGGTTTACTCACATCATTTTAAAAATTAGTTCTGCCTGGAGGTATAGCACTATAATACATTTTTTTAGTGAATTGGTATTTCACTATTATTTCAATATTTTTTAAAATTACAGCCAGTTGAATCTAATAGATTAGTTAAAACATTAATAGACATTAAAACGTTATATTTAAAATAGCACCCACCACAAAGGTAACAATGAATAGGAACCAAGCTGTGATAGATTATGGTCTGGGAAA